ATAATAATAATAATAATAATAATAATAATAATAATAATAATAATAATTCCTTTTTAAGGGCCTTCCCAGTGCCACATCTGAACTACAGAACTGCCTACCTGAGTTAATTAATCAAAGCCGTGCTTGTTAAGAAAGGCCTTTGTGCCACACCGAGTGGACATTTTGACTGAAATGTTATCTACTGCCTCTCCTTCGTCTTAAAAAATTAAATTCTTATGGCCCAACAGGATTACCTAGTAGAAGAATAAATCAATAGCTCTTTGTCAACTTTAAAATTTAATCACCATGTTTTTAATCCCCTGTAGCTACCAGACCATGCTGGATTGCTGGCACAGTATCCCAACAGAGAGACCCACTTTTACCAACCTTGTGGAACGTTTAGGGGATCTGCTCCAGGCAAATGTACAGCAGGTAAAATAGAGAAGAATTGTCCCATTTCACTTCAACTAAATGCAAGCAAGAGTTCTTCCTGAAAGCTAGACTTTAAAAGGATAAGTTTTATAATTGTGTAAATATGGAAGGCCACATGTGGATTCTTAGGAGTGTTGCAACAGGTAAAGAAATGCTTCTAGCTAAATAATATGAAAGAAACATAGCAAATAATAATTGGTTTGTGACCTAATGTTCTGGATTTCTTCTCCATGGGCCAATATGGGGATTATGTAGGGTGGGCTTCAGTGTCCCCAAGTGACCATGATGCTCTTCTACTTCTTCAGTCTGATCTCAAGATCATTGAACAGTTGAGCGAACTAGGAAGGTGTAGCCTATCGAAGAGAAGGATCAGGGAGGACAGGATAATTGTCTTCCAGTATTTGAGAGACTGTTACAGAGAGAAGGTGATTGGTTTATTCTCCAACGCACCTAAGGGCGGGGCAAGAAGCAATGGGTGGATGCTTCTTAAGAAGAGATTCATCCTAGAAGTATGGAGAAAAGTTCTGACAGTAAGGATCATTAATCAGATAAATAGCTTGCCTCCCGGAGTTGCGGGTGCTCCATCCTGGAAGTTTCCAAGAATAGACTGGACAACAATTTGACTGGGATGTCATAAGGTCTCCTGCCTTGAGAAGAGGGTTAGTCTAGCAGACCTCCAAGGTACCTTCCAGTCATATGATTCTAAGTTCTCTGCTCACTGGTCTAAGCTTTATTTCTCTGCATTCAATTGCTTGGAAGATTAACAGACTTTGGTACACAGATAAGTGTTAATCAAAGAACCACAAGGGAAAGGAAGCAAAAAAATTTAGTAGCTTAGGCAGAATACAGAAACCGTGGCCCTTGAGACATTCTTGGATTATAACTCCCATCACCTCTAATTGTGAACTGAAATTTCGAACATCTGGATTAAGGCTCCAAATATGAAATCTCAGCCACTTCAGGTAAGGCTTCAGGCTAGAAAGTGGGAGGTCATGAGTTCTAGAATTGCCCTAGGTATAAAGCCAGCTAGGTGATCTTGGGCCAATGGGCCAGTTGGAAACTTTCTTGATAACCTTAGAAATACTCAGAGATAAGTGCATGTTGGACAAAATGTCATTGCTGGTGCACTGCCAAAATATTACAGCTGGGTCCCAGAAAATGAAAAATTTCATCTCCTGGAGGCTTCAGGTAAAGTGATCTCCTAAGACAGAGGTCTCCAAACTGGGCCACTTTAAGACTTGTGGACTTCAAGTCCTGCTTTGCTGGCAGAGGAATTCTGGGAGTTGAAGACCACAAGTCTTAAAGTGGCCAAGTTTGGGGACCCCTGTCCTAAGAGAATTAGAGGAATATGAGAGTTAATGATTTCTGAAGTGTAAGTAAAAATAATAAGCCTGAGCTTCTCCTGTTTTCTTTTCCCAAGGATGGGAAAGACTATATCCCACTGAACATTACTTTGTGTCCTGATGGGGAGTCCAACCCCAAGATCTGCATCTTGGAAGAGAATGTGAGCAACTTCATTCACCGCTGGAGTGCTATAGAAGCCAGGTGAGGAAGCCATTTTGAGCAGTGAAAAACCTTTTCCCAAGCAGGAACGGCCATCTGACTGATTCATTCTGTTCTTCATTTGTTTCCTCTTTTTCTTCTGTTTTGAAAGAGTCTGTTATTTTTCCTTGACTGGTGCTAATAGATGTGAAAGCCCAGATTTGTAGACTGTGAAAATATGTCTACTAAAAAGTCTAGGATACCCTGTAAAACCTCAAAATTGCCTTGTTTAATCAATACTGAGGCACAGCCATTGATCTCATTGGAACAAGGGATCAGAGAAGCCCTAAAAGTTCTGGATGTGATAGAAGTAGCAATACCTCTCTTTTTTGCAGCATCTCCAAAGGAATTAATGGAAATCAATGTTTTCATAGTGTAAAGTAAGTACCTGAAAGGAAAGGTAGATAGCAGTGGAATCTAAATTGTCTATCCACTGTATTTCTGAAGCTTCTCTAACAGTCTGACCTTTAACTGACTATTTCCTTTATTCCGAAGAATATACAGGTGGCTTAAATATGATCCAGCCATATGCTGCAGTACCAAAAGAACCAACGCAGTCCTAGGCTGCATCAACAGAGAGATAGTATCAAAATCGTGAGAAGTGTTAGTATCGCTTTACATACTGCACTTAGAATCCTGTGTCCAGTTTTGTTCATCAGGATACAAAAAAAGGTGTTGAGACTCTAGAAAGAGTGCAAAGAAGAACAAAAAATGATGATTAGGGGACTGATCAAAATGCTTTTTTTCTGGTATCTTGCTTTCACATGTGTTGAGGTATTCCCCGTTAGGAGAATGAGTGCACTCAGGGAAACATAGTGAGAGTGGTGATGAATAATACACAACCAGCACACAGATACACTGAATAATAAAATGTAAGTTTTACTTCCAGTAAACAGGTAGACAAAGTCCAACAAACAGTCCAAATCATACATGGTTAAAGCAGTTAGTATTCAAAACAATCAGTCCAGGGATAATCCCAAAACAGAGTCCTTTTCTTTACCAGTATCATAAACAAAGCTCAGTAAATAGAGTTTGTGAATAGTTGCAAGACTCACAGCAATTCAAGCAGAATGACGATCAGGCAAAAAGCAAAAGGAAAGCAAACGAAATGCAAAAAGGAACCAGGTTTCTGGCTCCATCTTATGGCCACTGGAGGAACCTCAGCCAATCACAGTTACAGCATTCTCTTAAAGATACAACAGTATTAAATGACTATATATTGCCAACCCAACTGTTAGGTGACTATCATTCCTAACAACATGCGGACAGCAAAATTAATGCTTGTGTCAACTACACCCCCTGCTTAATGGCCATGTGTGGGCAACTCAAAGTCTTGTCTCCTCTTTATTTTCAGCATTAACTCCAAGAACCGGCCACTCAGTGTGAAAACCTTTGATGAAGTGCCCGTAGAGAAGGAGAAGATGATACATGAGGTGAGCTTGAACCAAACACGTGTTTTTCACTGCCCACCTGGAAGTGGTTACTGTTAAGGGAAAAATTTGCAAACAGGAAGCAGCTAGGAAATCCATCCCTGAATGTAAATAACTACCTGAAAAGTAACACATAATTGAAGTTATCCAATGGGCGCATAATGTACCTAATATTTTGCATTATCAGTTATGATTTATCCTGCCATAGTGAGCCATGGTGGTGCAGTGATTTGAATGCATTGTTGCAGGCTAACTCTGCCCATTGCCAAGAGTTCAGTCCTGACCAGCTCAAGGTTGACTCATCCTTCCATCCTTCAGAGGTCAGTAAAATGAGAACCCAGATTTTGGAGGGCAATATGCTGAGTCTGTAAACCACTTAGGGCTGTAAAGCTCTATGAAGCTGTATATAAGTCCAAGTGCTATTTCAATAAAATATAATAGGTTGGTAAATTTGCCAGTCAAGTAAGCAAATCTGGGGAGATGGAAAAGGAGAACATCAACCTCTATTATCCAGGAGAAACACAGAATATGGTTGTGCAAAATAAAAACTCATTATGTAATCTAGCCAGTGTTAGGCAGGTTTCCAAAAAATTAAAGCTCTGTGATTATAAATACAATTAAAAGGCAACGAAAAGCCAGTGAAAAACCTGGGAAAGGGAAGAGGACTTTTTCTGGAGCTAAAATGATCCTTGCATGGGGGCCAGTCTAGCCTTTTTCTTTGAATGAGAAGCCTTCCTAAGGATATCTTGAGTCTCTTCTTCCTCCTCTTCTGCAGGACGGTGAATCAGACAGTGGGATGGTGTTGACCCTGGATGAAATCAAGAGCCGGAAGAGGCTGGAGATCCGATCTTGGCCTTATGGAATCATGGCTCTTGCGTAAGTATTGATACTGTTGGCAGTGATTTGTTCTCCAGGCTTGCTGTCTAGCTTCTGAACTAAATAGTCATCAAGCTAAATGACCTCCTTAGCGAGTCTTTCAGTTGAAGTTCTTTTATTGATCTCATATGTG